GAGTCCGGTCATCCCTTTTTCACGCTCTTAACTCAATCCGTGCAAGGAGGGTTGCCATCAATAATGATCCACCCATTGAGTATTGGAATGACTTGAGGAGTGTTATGAGAAGAAGGCACATACCTTCTTATTATAGTAGGGAGCTTATGGATAAGCTCCAAAGACTCCAACAAAAGAATATAAGTTTGGAGGAATATAGACAAAAAATGGAGTTGTACTTAATGAGGGCTGGAATAAGGGAAGAGGAGAGATTGACCATAGCAAGATTCTTGAGTGGTCTTAACTTTGATATAAGAGATAAAGTTGAATTACTCCTTTATAGGGACCTTAATGATCTGGTCCAACTTTGTATAAGGGTAGAGCAACAACAACTTAGAAAATCTTCTAAAAGTACCAACTCTAAATCTTATATCAAGGAAGATCTCAAGAGGGATGGAAGTTCATTCAAGAGATACTTTAAAGAAAATCCCTCTAAAACTCAAGAAAATGAAAAAGATGTGGAAAAGAAAAAGATAACTTCACACACTAGCTCAAGGACAAGTGAAATAAAATGTTTCAAGTGTCTAGGAAGAGGCCACATTACCTCTCAATGCCCCACCAAAAAGACCATGATACTTAGGGGTAAAGACATTTATAGTGAAGAGTCCAGTGTAGGGATCAACATTTGGATGATTAGCTTGTCAAAATACTTCGAATTTTAACTTAGAAAATTTTTCAATTTATTGCTAAAATCGGCATTCGGGCGATTACTTTGCCAAAAAACTTCAAATTTTAACTTGGAAAAATTTTTCCATTGTTGAGATCGGCATTTGGGCGATTAGCTTGTCAAAAAATTCAAATTTTAACTTAGCACATTTTATTCACCCGTGTTAATCAAAATTTTGACGATTCCAGACACACAATTCGGAGCTTGGGCGACCCGTGCATATAATTGCAGCTCAATGTTGATCTGACAGTTCTATTCCATTATTTGAATTCTGCTAGTTCATTTTAAATCTAAAGAAAGATTCACTTATTGTTTTTGAGTCGGCGTTTGGCCGATTGCATGGTTAAATTTCGCTTGAGCTTGGAGAAGTTTTCATTCACCCTTCATAGTTCACTTTGTACACTTAGGCCTTTTCATACCTATCTTGCACCTTGAAAATCCTTTTTTGTGAAAACCCTTTTATCACTCACTCCTTGTGAAAACTTTTTCAAACCTTTTTGAAAATACTTTGTGAAAACCTTTTTGGATCAAAGATGAGTGATCATTCTAGTGTCCATGGTCATAACTCTTGTAGTACTAGGTCTAGTGTTAGGGAAGAAATTAGGCAACTCAAAGAGTACGTAAGAAAAAAACAAGAGGAAAATATAAAAAGAGAGGAAGAATTGAGAAGAAAAGAAAAAAAGTTTGAAAAAAATAATGAGGAAATAAAACAACTACTTGCAAAATTAGTTGAGAGGAGAGAAACTAGTGGATCCCAACCTAGGATTGTTCCAACTAGATCTCAAAAAGGCAAAGAAGTTAGAGTTCCTAGGAGTATGCATGAGCAAGAAAATACAACAAGAGAGGAGGAACTTAGAAGGAAAGAAAAAGAAAAGAAAATAGAAAAGAAAGAAAAAATAAAGAAAAGTATAGAGAAAGTTAAAGAGTGGCTAGAAAATGAAAAACAACAACCAACACTCTTAGAGAAGAGTAAGGAGGATAATGTTTCTTTCAAAGGGCTTATGCTTGAAGAGAGTCACTTTCCCATTGAAAATGATTTTAAAAAGACTTTCTTCATTCATCAAGACCTTAACTCTTTCTCTCACGTTGCCACTAGTCATGAAGTGGAGATTCAAAAACAAATCCTTTTTAAAGAAAAAGAATCTCAACTTCAAGATTTAGTGAAGAAGAAGTGGACTTCACTTAGTCCCACTTCTTGTGCTACTTCCTTGGTGGTGCCCAAGGAAGATAAGCCTTCTTTCTTTAAGACTCTTTCTACTTTAGTTTTCTTCATAAAGCACCCAACTTTTGGTTTGTATGGTTTGTTGGATACATCTCATGGTGTTGTATCTTCTATTTTTGATCTTGAAGGAAGTTCAAACTTATTTGAACTTAACTTGAATACTTTCCTACAAGACAAACTTAGATTATATGAGTTTCCTAGACTCCTCTTAACACCTTTTTCTCATATGTATCTAACAAATTATGCAATACAAAGTTGTTTAGGTAATTTTTTAGTTAAGTTTTCTTTATTTTCCAATACATACCTAGGTCATTACATTGGGCACTTCCAACAAGATATTTTAGTTTTTAGGACTAATACATTAGTGTGCTATAGTTTTAGTCTTTTTACCTTTTTAGGTTTTAGTTATACACCTAGACTTCACCGTGGGGAGGATCCTATCCTTAACATTAGAAAGTCTAGTCCTTTTAATTTAGACAATCTTTTTAGCATTTTTAGTAGAACTCCTCTTAGGATACACTTTCCATTTCTATCATATACTATTACCTCTAATGCTTATTTTTATGTTTTTGTTGGTCATGATGCCCACCATGAGGAACCTCTTGATTTGAGGTCAAATCCTTTTCAAGAGGGAGGGAATGATGGAATAACACTAAGGCCGAGAAGACCAAGAGGTGATATATTAAAGGAGGCAAGAGGAATGGGTTAGTGAGGCCACTTTTGGACCTTAGCTCCTAAGTTCTTTTTAATCATAGAATTTATTTTACTTGTATTTCCAATTTTACCCTTGTATTTTGGGGTGTTTAGGACTTAGAATTTATTTTCCCTTGTATTTCCCTTTTTACCCTTGTATTATGGGGTGCTCTAGATGATTAGGGTTTTTAATTTTGGGCTAGGGTGTTAACTAGAAGGGTGACGCATTTTTTTGGTGTTCATTGGATCTATTTTTGGTGTTAGAAAGGCTTAGGCCCAAGTGGAGGGCAAAGGTTGCATGGTCTTATCATGCACCTAGATATAGCCAATCTAAACCCAAAGATTCCATCCTTGGCCACCAAGTTGCATCTAGGGTTCATTTGCATTTCATTTGGAATGCATTTGCCTACTCCAAATGCAACCCTAGATGCCTCCCCTCCTATAAATACCCAACACCCCACACCTTGTTAATACTTTGGATATTGAATATAAAGAGAGCCTTTAGTGCCTTTATATCTTTCCTTAGTCACCCTTGGCTATTTTCAGCCAAACCCTACCATCTCTACCTTGAGAGAAACAACCCTAGAAGTCGCTTTCATCATCATGAAGTGAGTCAACCCTAGAGTACCATTCTCAACCATTTCCTCAAACACCTTCTACCCAACCTTCATTTTCGTCCATTCCATCATCATCCACCCTAAAACCTTGGTCCACCTTTGAAGAACTTGATCCTTGGAGAAGGCGTCCTCCTCCTTGCTCATCATCTCAAGTTCATGCAAGTAAGGATACCATCATTTATTTTTCACTAGGAAGCCTAATGACATTCAAAACTAACCTGGCAATATGAAAAGCTATATAAACTAAATTAAAATAAAATACAAAAATTACAATAAAAATAAGAAAATAGACTTAAATAATTATTCAGCCCAAAAACTATTTAACCTTCAACCCATTAATATTTCTTCTAGATAAATGAGTTTGGATTTGTCATGTTTGACTTCAATTTGGGCCTAAGTCCATCAACTTATAAAGAAGTGATTCATTTTGATACAACTTCTGAATTTGAACTTGTCTTAATCTTCATAATTAGCCCTTGTAAAATTTGTTTCATCATCTTCATCTTAAACCTTATCATGGACCTCCAATATCATATGAAGGATCTTTCCCTTGACCGGTTAGATCCTTATCATGTATGCCCAAATTACTCGCAAAGGGAGAAGATTCCTTAAAAAAAATTATTGTTTAGTACAACTTTTAAGAAGAGAAAGAAGCATCTCATAACCTAATTTTAATTTCCCCTCAATATTAGGATTTGGAAGAGATTATAATATTCAAAATATTTGTATTCTTAAAATGTACACAGAAGAAAATTAATTTTTAAAATTCCTCCCCTTTCCCTTTCC